CCATGGACAATATGAACTTTTTTGTTCATTTTAGGGTGAAGAATCTACTGGAGAAGTTTGTAGCACGAGTAGCAATTCACCCTGTATGTATCGACCAGACAGTTTTAGTAGGTTTGATACCTTGAAAATTCTTAGTCCTAGGTTTGTGTAAATAATTTTAATATTTTTGATGGTGAGGTACCTCGCGACTGCACATGTAAGCCATCCACCGGATTCATAGTCGAAAAAGCTTGATGTTCATCATCGACCACGAAATTAGTTAAGCTACTCTTTTTTGTGAACTCTGTTTAGTTTTTTTCTCATAGACATACTTTATAAACTTTATAAACTCTTTATAATTGTGTTTGTTCTTTGTCAGTTCTACCAATTTACTTTCATCATCTATTTTTGTTTTTATTTCCATTTCTCGTATTCTTCTTTTATGGTTATAAATTTCGCATTTCGTCACAATATGTTCAGCACTTTCTATTTCCCCACATTGGCATAAATTGGTGTTTTTTAACTTGTAATTATATAAATATTTATTAAATTCTCCATGCCCTGTTAAAAACCGGGTAGTAATATAATTTGGTTGAATAAAATTCCCGTTTTTGATTCTTGATTTAATGCATGGCAAGAATTTATAAGTAGTTCGCCCTTTTATGCTTGCACTCTATCTTGCTTGCCATTTTGTTATATTTTCGTTTTCTAATTCTTTAATTTTTTCACTATAATTATTGCATGTTGTTTTCCTTAATTTGTGAATCTCTATTTTTTTTAAGGAGTTCTAAGTCAATTGGTATCTGCCCTGTTATAACTTGAAGTGCATGTAAGCCCTTTACCCCCTTCAACCCTTTACATAGCCATTTTAGTGCTTTGTTCAAATTTTAGCCCCCAAGTAGCTTTTGCTAAGTTAGCCAGGTAATTTTGTTTTCCTTCTATTTTTTTCCGGGTGTTCTCAATATGGTTGCTAGGGTTGAAACTGTTACTGATCACTACTCCTAAGTATGTTACGTTTTTTTCCACTTTTATTGTCTTCCCGTTGAGGCTAATTTTGGGTTCGAGGGTGCTACTTTTCCTTTTAAGAATTGAACTTTGGTTTTTCCTCTGATACTTGGAGCTTTTGTTGTTGGCACCAATTATGGACTATCTTTATAGCTTCTTCGCTGTTACCATCAACAACTAGGGCCAAGTCATCCATGAATGCAGTTGCACTTATTTGTTAGGTTTGCATTTCCTCCAATATTCCATCAAAGGCTATTATCCATAAGTGGTCCTAGGATGGAGCCCTGGGGTTCACTCTTTTGAACAATTCTTCTTTATTAATTTCTGTTGTTGCATATCTTTCGTGGAAGTAATTTTTGATAACTTTGAGCAGTTGATCCTTTGTTATAGAGGTCAACCACTACTTTTGGCCACCATAAGCTATCAAATGTTGCTCTAATATCAATGTATATTGCAGCTACATATTTTCCTCTTTTGTCTTTAACGTCTTTTTGGAGGTTTAGTATTGCAACGGATGATGTACTATTAAAAATTTTTTTAAAATAAATTTAAAAAAAATTACTATTAAAAAACACGAAGCGGTTTTGTTTCAATGTGGCGTCCCTGATTCTAAATGATTTTCCAAAGTGATCAGTGCTGAACCCACATCATCGACCGAAAAAACGTCATCATCGACCTCTAAATTAATTAGGCTACTCTGGATAATTTGGTATACATTTTTAAAAGTCCTTACTTAAATTGTACATATATAAAACATCGTAAAAATAAGTAAAAAGCGGAATTAGATCAACGGGTGATGTACTATTAAATTTTTTTTTAAAGAAAACTAAAAAAAAATACTATTAAAAAACGCGAAGCGGTTTTGTTTCAATGTGGCGTCCTTTGTCTAAATGATTGTCCAAAGTGATCAGTGCTGAACCCACATCAACGACCGAAAAAATGTCATCATCGACCACTAAATTAATCAGGCTACTCTGGATAATTCGAAGCCCAAGACCACAAAATAATTCTTCTGTTCGAAAATGTTCGAATTATCAAGAAAAAAGAAGAAAATTATTAAGAGTTAATATGCATTTTTAAAAGTTCTTATTTAAATTGTACGTACATAAAATATCGTAAAAATAAGTAAAAAGTGGAATTAGATCAACGGGTGATGTACTATTAAAAAAAAATTTAAAAAGAAAACTAAAAAAAAAAATACTATTAAAAAACACGAAGCGGTTTTGTTTCAATGTGGCGTCCCTGTTTCTAAATGATTTTCCAAAGTGATCAGTGCTGAACCCACATCATCGACCGAAAAAACGTCATCATCGACCATTAAATTAGTTAAGCTACTCTGGATAATTCGAAGCCCAAGACCACAAAATAATTCTTCTGTTCGAAAATGTTCGAATTATCAAGAGGAAAGAAGAAAATTATTAAGAGTTGATGTGTGTGTAAAAAGGAAATAATATTATTTTAGGTTTTTTTCTTGTTCTTTTAGTCATAAAATCGAGAATAGCATCCAATTTGTATATTTTAAAACTTATAATTTAATAAATTATATGTTTTTTAGTGACCAGATGTTCGATAGTTTGTTTTAGTAGTGAGGAGCGGTCAGGAAAGGAGACTTTTAGAAAAACACCTTTTTAATTTTTTGCCGACATTTCGACCTTTATTCCGGTCATCTTCAGGGCCTGGCTGAATCACAAAACAATTGTTGATTGGAAAAATACAATACAGATGTAAATATGAAATATTTGGTTTAAAATTTATGTTTAGATCTGTATTGTATTTTTTCTAATCATATGTTTTGTTATTCTCCCATTCTCTGAAGATGTTCCGAATAAAAGTCGAAACGTCGGCAAAACAAAGGTATTTTTATAAAACACTTTATTCCTGTCCGCTCCTAACGACCTCAACAAAATAATAAATTATTATATCCTTTTATTAGATTTTTTTATAATTGCACACTTATTGATGTTCTTGGCTCACAGAGCGAAAATCGGAATCGTACAAATTATCGACATTTACATTAAGTACTTTGCATTTGGAGAGAACTATGATCAGTTTAAAATATTAAAGATTTTTTTTTATTGTTACATTTTTATTAAAGCCAACTGATAATTCGAAGCCCAAGGGTCACAAAATAATTAGAATTATTAAAATGTTCTAATTATTAAGAGGAAAAAATATATTAGCGGTTGATATGCATTTTTAAAAGTTCTTACCCAAATTGTACATTTATAAAACATCGGAAAAATAATTAAAAATGGAAAAAGATTAACGGGAGAAATGCATTGCAATGCACTATTAAAAAAATGTATGAAGCTGTTTTGTTTCAATGGGGCCTGGCGTTCTTTGTCTAAACGATTTTCCAAAGTGATCAGTGCTGAGCCCATTGACAGACAAAACACTGAATGACTGAACGTCGAACTTAACAAACTAGAAAAAAAATCGAAAAAACGTTAGGCTGTGAGGAAGTAACAGTACCTGGAAGTTTAGAATAACTTCACAAAGAAAAAGTTGGAAGTATAAAGAGAGGACGCGGCTCCATTTCAATTTATCGAATGCTTTCTTTTCCCTGTTTCAAAAATATATTTTGTATTAACGAGTGTATCAAAACACAGAATTTTTTTGTCGATTTGCCAAAGTATTCTGCTGTGGAGTTCCTATTAACATGAAATTCGCTTATTTCGTTTTTTGTCGGTAATTCGTATATTTCTGTATATTTATGATTTGTTAACTGTTTCGGGAGAGCGCATTTATAAGCGTGAATGTGTGTGAGTAGATCATGTTGGAGGAATGTCAAGTACCAAATCAATCCTCAACTAGATCAGTGTGTAAAGGGAGGAATATCGATAAGTACACACGTAATACAAGGGTGAATTACTTGGCTCCATATAGAGAACCAATAGTCACTCATTATGAAACTTTTGCTTTAATAATGCAGCAAATCCTTGAGTACCCTGTTCCGATTTGTAGAGAAATTGCTGTTCTCTTGTACGTATGTTGTTTTGTGGTTCTTTTCTATACATCAAGAGTGATATTATTTATTTAAGTGTATAGGGTAAGAAGGCCAACTGTGGCTTGATGAGTAGCCCTTCAACCCCCAACTAGATTATAATAGACTCATGAATTAGTGTTATGGTCAGAAAAACAAATAGTGCTTTTTGCAAACGCCAAGCTTTCAACACTACATTTCATTTTCTTCAGGTTAGGCACATAATAAAAATTTAAACGTTTACACATGTTAAATAACAAAACCCTCTATTATCCATATTTCTGTAAGAACTATGATTTCTTTAAAGCAAATTGCCATATTCACTCCTTCTCAAGCCATTTCTATCAATCATCAATTCTAGTCCACCTCAGAAAGTTCCCTTCTATTAAAGCTTTATTTTGGACTAAAGCTTAATGTAGCTAGATGCATAAGTGAGTTGTTTTTGAATGGGTTCTTTCATTGATGATGAAGTTTGTTTATTTCTGCTAGAGTGGCTTAGTATTTTTTTCTTGGCGTAAAAGCAAAAATGCAGTATGTTGTTCAAACGAGCACCAAGGTATCCTAGTTGACCATGGAATGCATTACTTGCACTCACTAATGATCTAGTTTGCTCTATGCCCAGAAACCAAAATAGTTTTGCTGCTATTCGGCCTAATAGCCAATTTGTTGAGGGATTTGAAACATTTTTTTAACATAAAGTGTTAGTTCTCTAGATGTGGCAATAATTCCGATAAGAGGCTTGATCAAAAGCAGTGACATCTGCACACAGTGCTACGTCTGAAGTCAATTTGGTCTATTTAATGTTGTTTATGAAGTAGTTAAAATAGTATAGTAGCCAGCACAGAACTTTGGGAACACCCAAATCCGAACTTCAAGTATCTGGGCATGAAAGTGTATACCGAACAATTATTCACTGTAGCTGTACACTAGGAACATCTAATTTAATTATATATTTATTTAAAAAGTTGACAATTATGTATGTGCATGTTTTCATGTAAGTTAGAATTGACTAACAAATATTTTATATTTGCAGCATCAATCTTAGCTGATAAAGGGTATGATGTTTGGCTTGGTGATACAAGGGGTAACGCTTATTCTAGAAAACATATTAGTCTTAATCCAGACTCTCCGGAATTTTGGGATTTTAGGTAAATAGTTCAATAATTTTTGTTTGTTTTTATGCTTAAAAAAAAATCAAAATGATTATCGTTGACTGTATAATCAATTTTTTCACCATCTTGTTTCAACTTACAGCTTTCATGAAGTCGGCTACTATGACATTCCAGCGATGGTGGACTATATAAGGCTACAATCTGGGCACAAAAAGGTGTACTATGTCGGATATTCGTTAGGTGGTACCGACTTCCTTGTCATGGCATCAGCCCGTCCAGAGTACAATAAAAAAATAAAAGCTGGAATATTGATAGCCCCTTATGCTTACAGCCCATCAAACATGAATAGAGTAGTACAAATGCTCGTAAGCATTACGACTTCTGTTATGGTAAGAATCCACTTGAGCATATTATTTATAATTTTAAACAATTTAATCATCTTTTTGCTGTTTTCAGAGACGTTGGAGAATGTTAAGAGTATTTGAAGTCTTTCCAAGATCAAATGCTACTTTAGTTATGAATCATCTTTTGTGTATGCCAAAATCTAGCCTCATGCCATTATGTCTTCAGGTTTATAACCAAATATTTGGACTCACAGAAGAATTAAATGAGGTAATTAGTTTTAAACACAATTCTACTATTTGTAAGTTAATTTAATCTGAGATAGAAATAAATATAATTGATATATAAGGATTTATGAAGTCAAAGAATTATGATTGCAGGATCATCTTATTGATTTAATGAGCACATTCCGTGCAGGGTCATCAGCCAAGACTTTGAATCACTGCATGCAAGTTATGCATATGGGTTAGTGTGCTCCCAGAGTTTATCTCATAATATTGTCTAATAAATTGTCATCTGTTATTAGATTCTCTGCGATATTATGATTACGACGATGCAGAAAACTTGAAGAGATACGGACAAACCGATCCACCTGAGTACAACCTTTCCCTTATCACTGCTCCAGTATCGCTTCACTATAGTTCTCAAGACTGGTTTGTCAGTACAGAGGTGAGTTGAAATGGAATTTTTATTTTTTGAACTTTTAGGTAATATGCATATTCAAACTTTACTCTATCTTACTGCATTCCATATCTCTTACTTCAAAGATTAATTGAAAAGTTATCAATGGTTTCAAAGTCTAAAAATAGCTTTTTGACTTAAACATCAGCCTTTTAGTAATAAAATTGCATTATATATCTCTTCATGCCATATACGTCTGATGCATCAGTTGCATATGGTATATTTCATAGGTGGTTTCAAATCAACTATTGATTTAATGAGTCATAAGCCTATGCAAACCTCAGACAGTATTTGAAGGTTATCCTTCTTCAGCTTCAAGGCCAAGATGTCCCAACATCCTAACCTTTGCAATTTGGCACACTGAATGCTAAAAATGTAATAAAGAACATAATTAAAAAAAAAGAAAGTGGCAGCATCAATGAGCTAGGTAAAGATGCTCTCATGCATCATTTAGTGCTCGGTCGATAGGTGACCATGGAAAGGGGTTAACCGTTGAAAAGGAATAAGGTTAACCTGATTAAGAATAAGAATGTGAGGTTGACATACACTTACTTTTGAGCCAGAGCCCACTTTATTTGAACGATGCTATTCCTGGGCTCCATATAGAGAGGGCATAGAAATGACACTCGATATGAGAATTGTGTTGGAGCACAGCAGCTAGGTTTTGGGTCCTCTGTTCACATTTTTGAAAAAATAGGGCTAATATCGTATATAGTACTATATTATTTTTTTATGGTTCTTTTTCTGTTCGTTAAGAGTGAATTTATTTATTAGAATGAATTAGTATGGGAGGATTGAAATCAGACACCCATTATTAGATATGGAGAGTGATTATATGATCCCGGAAACAATCTTCACAACTTCCTATAAAGTCTCAACGAACTATAAAGGAAAGGAAGAACACAGGAGAGAATCAGATACAATGATATAGTGTACAGATGGGTCCAAAACAAACGAAGGAAATGGATCAGGCGATTTCTGTACAAGTCCAAAACATGAGCAATCAAACTCATTAGGGAAGTACATTTCAGTCTTTCAAGCTGAAATACATGCCACCAATGCTTGTGCTCTGGAAAATCTTAAAAGAGGTTACACTGGCAAAAAATTGTTATATGACTTGATAGCCAAGCAGCCATTAAAGCATTGGCATGTAAAAGAATCACATCAAAATTAGTCAGTGAATGCATTCAAAATCTCCAAAACCTGGGGAAACACAACAACCTGATGATATCTTGGGTGCCAGGGCACGGGGGAATTTTGGGTTACGAGAAAGCAGATAGTCTGGCCAGAGGAGAATCTGCAAGACCATACATAGGCCCCGAACCTATTCTTGGGATAACAAAAACAAATATAGAATCCTCCATCGCAGAATGGATCCAAACAAAACAAAAGGAGAAGTTGATAAACTCTAGCGGTGCTAGACATAATCAACTTATGATGAAACAACCTTCACCAAGACTGGCACTTCTGCAATTGGAGAGGGCAAAACTCAGAGGAGTGGTGCGACTACTAACCGTCACTAGCATCTGAGAAAACATCTACCCAACATGGGTGTATACAACGATGATCCCATTTGCAGATTATGTATTGAGGAGGAAGAAACAGCCACTCACATCATCTTCGAATGCGAAGCAACAGCTCAATGGAGATTTAACCTAACGTACGGAAAAAACTTAGGGAATCAAATTGCAGCAGCGACAGTCAATGACCTGATACTTCTAAGGAGAAGGATTGAGTCTATTGAACTGAACTAAGGAACTAGGAAGGTACAATAAGCCAGAAGGCTGCAGTGCCTGGGGAGTGCAAACCCCGCTTCCTAGTATCCTTTTTCACCATACCATGGGAGGATTGATGATGGAATATTAAGTACGAGGCTGAGGCTAGTTATACAATGTGTGTAAAACTGAGTGAATGGCATGTACATGGGAAAAATAAGAGTTTGTGAGTTTAGATTTAAAAAATGATAAGGGAGGTGCAATATAAACTAGCTGTTGTTAGCCCCAGTAGCCCAACTTCAACGACAGGAAGATAAGTCTGATTTTGGACTGCTAAAGTAAAGCCTGAGGTAGGCTGATTCTCATGATCAGCTGGTGAATTATTGTCAGTAAACCATAGGACGTGATGGGTTTGGCTATGAACATGTGTGTATGCATGTGCAGGTTGAAATATTTTTTTTTTTAATTATTACATCTGTGAGTCGCATAAAATATATTTGATAGCCAGTTTCAGTACTACTGTCGGTTTCACAATAGTCAGAAGCCCACGTAAATCTCAGGAAGTATTCTTCTTTAAGATTCTGCTTATAATTTTATGTGTGTTTGTCATTGTAAGAAACTTGAACTCTTGTAATGAGTTCATCTCCATTATCTTTCCATATTGATAATAATTATGTAATGCACCTCACATATTAACATGGCTTAAATACATTTACACTTTTGAATATTGACAAATCTGTAAACACTGAATAATTGTGATTGCTACGTTAACCGGGTTTAAGAAATATACACATTTGAGAGATGCATCTGTGAATGTTATTTACTTGTAATGCAATTTAATAACAAAAACCTTTCTAAAATTTAAATTGTACTTGCTGATTGATAATTTCTGATTTCTAATAAAGTACATTTGTTTACAGAAAGTTGAACGGCTGACGTCAAAGCTTCCTAATGTAATAGGAAAATATTTAGTCTCTTCTAGAAGTTTCAACCACATGGACTTTTTGGTTGGCATTCATGCTAGGGAGCTGGTATACGAAGATGTAACAAACGTCATATCAAATTTAACATGAACGTTAAACATTTATGTCCCACCGTTTTAAAGTTGCAACTTAACAAGTGTATATTTTGATATTCAATTCGAGGAATGTATATAGCTACTCTGTGTGTAAGGTGTACGTACATCTTCAAACTGAACAGTAACCAAATATTGTTAGCTTACTATAAATATTTAAGTCATTTAATTGGTAATCCAATTTAAACAAATAATAAATATTTTGTAAATAAATCAATTAAACAAATTGTTTGCATTACCTCGTCTGTGTGTGTGTGTGTGTGTGTGTGCGTGCGTGTGTGCGCGCGCGTGTACATATATTTATTATGCATGAAAAATGTGAAATAATATTATTTCAGGTTTTTTTCTTATTCTTTTAGTCATAAAATCGAAAATAGCATCCAATTTGTATATTTTAAAACTTGTAATTTAATAAATTATATGTTTTTTAGTGACTAGATGTTCGATAGTTTGATTTAGTAGTGAGGAGCGGTCAAGAAAGGAGTCTTTTAGAAAAACTCCTTTTTAATTTTTTGCCGACGTTTCGACCTTTATTCGGGTCATCTTCAGGGCCTGGCTGAATCACAAAACAATTGTTGATTGGAAAAATACAATACAGATTTAAATATGAAATATTTGGTTTAAAATTTATGTTTAGATCTGTATTGTATTTTTTCTAATCTATGTTTTGTTATTCTCCCATTCCCTGAAGATGTTCCGAATAAAAGTCGAAACGTCGGCAAAACAAAGGTGTTTTTATAAAACACTTTATTCCTGTCCGCTCCTAACGACCGGAGGAGATTAATAAATTAATAAATTATTATATCCTTTTATTAGATTTTTTTATAATTGCACACTAATTCGAAGCCCAAGGGCCACAAAATAATTTGAATTTTCAAGATGTTCTAATTATCAACAGGAAAAAAATTGATATGCATTTTTAAAAGTTCTTACCCATATTGTACATTTATAAAACATCGGAAAATAATTTAAAAATGGAAAAAGATTAACGGGAGAAATACATTGCTATGCACTATTAAAAAAATTATGAAGCTGTTTTGTTTCAATGGAGCCTGGCGTTCTTTGTCTAAATGATTTTCCCAAGTGATCAGTGCTGAGCCCACATTGACACTATTGACAGAGAAAACACTGAACGTCGAACTAAACAAACTAGAAAAAAATCGAAGAAACTGTAGGCTGCGAAATTTAGAGCGACTTTACAAGGAAAAAGTTAGAATTATAAAGCGGGTTCATTTTGATTTATAGAATGATCTCTCTCCCCCTGTTAAGAAAAATATTTCGTATTAACGAGTGTATCAAAACACAGAATTTTTTTCGATCCGTACAAAAGTTCGTATTAACAAGAAAAGAGCAAAATGGAGGGAAAATTCAAAAGGTGGGGTTGAGATGGGAAGTCAGTGTCCGAGCGGATAGAGGTCACGACAGCTCAAGTGGTACAGCAGCGGCATATCTAGCCGAAGATCATGGGTTCGAATCCTCGTGACACTGACTTTATTATCTCAACTAAAAACCTTAATTAATTGAAAGAAATTAACAAAAAATATGAATTATCAAGTTTTGAATTAACAAGAGTCGACTGTTTAGCTTTTATATTGAGAAAACAACTTGACACTCAAGAAGGACAATATGAAATAAACATGCAAAATTATTTGTTCACAAATAAATATATTATGTTATATAATTATTTTCTGATAATAAAATAACGTACAAATTGTTCATTATATATCGTCAGACCAACTTTTTTGTGGCAATAAACTTACTAGAAATACAGATCAACCCAGAACGTTTAACAAACGATAAAACCAAGTTATCGCTATACAAGTATTTTTGGGAGAAGAGGCCAAACATTCCAAGGGTATGCTTGGAATCGGGCCACTGGGATCTATGATGAGAAGCTGATGCCTAATGCAGTCGTCCAACATTGTCCCCAATACTCACTATAAATTAATAACGTCACATTTTAATGTTCATGTTTAAAAAAAAAAATACTTTGTGAGGATAGAATCTTTCAGGTTAAATAAAAAGATTCCTTGACATCGCAATGTAGACAAAAAGATAGGGTATTGCAAGGATGTGTGCCTATTGTATAGTCCTAAAAATGTTGTATAATTTTCAAAAACTATCTTCTCATTTTCACCAAAGATAAAAACACACCTGTATTATTTTAAAATGTGTAAGCAGTTTATAATTGAGTTTACGCCTGTCTTCCTTCAAATGGTTTTAGCATTGCAATACCAAAAACAAAAGCTGTGCTTTTTATGAGAAAATACTCTCTACACAATTAGTTGAAGGAAACAAGTTGATCCCTATTTCTGTTACTGTTTCACGGATATATTTAACTTCGACAGAACCTTTAATTGGTTGGATCATTTAAAAAGATTGTATGTAGTCTGCTGGGTGATGAATGTAATTTGGTCGTTACTTCTGTCATTACTTATGCTATGTCTACGAGGCAGAGCAAAATAATTGTAACAATACACGAAAAAATTGTCGTCTCACATCAGTTCAAGCATTCTCTTATCAAAATCAGTAAATTATTAAGGATAGGATGCAGACAAAGTTTTCGTAGTCTTGATAAAAGTCTTGTGAGATCGGAATGTCTAAATATATAGAAATTGTTATGAATTTCTATTTCATATTTAGCATCAATGAGAAGAGGCTCACCAAATTCAGCCGAGAGGGTTCTGGGTACAAGCTGAAAACCCACATAACTTGGAGGGCAGGGGGAGAATACACTGGGACTTTTATTTTTATAACTATTTAGAAATCGTGAGATGCGGTCTGGTGTGATGTAGGTTTCAGAAAAACATTTTCTTTATCATGCCTACGTTTCGATCTTTATTGAGATCATCTTCAGGGATCAAAGTGTTTGTCTTCTGTGTAATTGTGCACTCTCAACACGACACGCAAGAATTACAATTACACAGAAGACAACACTTTGAGCCCTGAAGATGATCTCAATAAAGATCGAAACGAAGGCACGATAAAGAAAATGTTTTACGTCTGATACATTGAAAATCGGCGATTGATGAAAAGAGCTGTTTTACTTTTTTCCAAATAAAGTTTCCGCGAGCGACGACAAAAACGCAGGGAAATAATAACAGTAGTTGTATGTAAATGTAATAACCTAATTTATATTCTTACAAACGGAGGTCGAATGTCTTGAACATTTACCATACACGTTTAGCGACCTACTGGCCTAATATCACAATAGTATGATTCATTTTTAAAGAGTAATTTGTTCTTGTTTGTTTAATAATAAAAAAAACCCACAGATTTCTTTATCCTCAGCCTGAATAAGAAAAAGCGGCCAGAATATAAGTTCATCAGAGACTGTCTTAACTTTGCTCGAAACTTAAAATTTAAAATCTTTGTGCATCGTATTGGTTATTTTAAATCTCTTGATATACTGTTCCAAAAATGGCATATTTTAAAATTTGGATTTCTTTCTTAGTTTGACGGGGGGCGTCGGTGGCCGCAACGGTTTAGGCGTTGACACGGCGCTCATCACTGTAAGGTAAAGGTCCCGGGTTCGAAACCAGCGGCCCTGCATTCGAACCGGACATACTTACAAATGGATATGGAAAGATATATTGGTTACTATTTTAAAAATGATAATAAATAAAATAATTATAATTAAAAGTAAAGTATTGGTTTTTGTCGCCAATTGTAAGACAAAACCGCTTATTTCTTAATTTGATTTAAATTACACATTTTGATTAATTTAATTCTTTAAAAATGCCTGTATTCAACTATCGTTGTGTCACGAAACAAAATTATTAAGAAAATTGGCCTATGATTATGCCATTGCACTTGTTGAGGATGGGATTCAGCGTTCGCGATTTATAGGTTTGCCTGAAAAATCTAGCGTTACCCGGGAGACGTAGACGACTCCCGATGGACATGTACTAGGAGATAGAATCAAGAGCCACGGAAACCGACGGCCGATTTATCACATTGCACTCTGAGAAATAAATTCCACTTATTTCTCAAAAGTATCAAAGATTTCAAACCGTGCGGGACAGTTACGACGAGACTAGCAGAAATGAGTTTACATCCCGGAAGGCCAGCACCAGGTAAGACGTTTATCGTCTTAGAGACGTCTTCATCGTCGCTTAGAGTTTCCAAGAGATCACCGACATACGACTGGAGGACTGTTATGCTTTTAGAAGAGTTTTCTCTCCTTTTGCCAAAGGGACGTCTTCGAGTTTAAAGAGCAGTTTGGAGGTGGAAGTGACACAAATTCTTGGAGATAGGTGGTGCTATTTTCCTCTTGTAATTTGCTTGTAATTCTTGTACCACATGGCGCCAGTGTCAGCTCCTCCGTTGGTTAGAGCCATGAGCACTTTTGGGATAAGCTCGGACATCGGTTAAAAAGAAAACCTCGTACAATGAAGTTACGTTAGTTGAGGTTTGGGACATTCTAGAGCTGGCTAAAGGCTTTATAAGCATGCCGAGAAGACTGAAGTGTGAAATAAGAGCAACTACAGGTATTACAGAAGAAAAGGCAAAAAGGAGGGAAAATTCGAAAGGGGAGGTTGAGATGGGTGGTTGGTGCCCGAGCGGATCGAAGCCACGACAGCTCAAGTGGTAGAGCAGCGGCGTATTTAGCCGAAGATCGTGGGTTCGAATCCCGCTTGTGACACTGACTTTTTTATCTCAACCAAAACCTTAATTATTTGAAAAAAATTAATTTGGTCAAGCGGACCACGAAACCTAATAAAATGTAATAAGCAAAATGAAGTATACTTCATTAAAGCTCTCCGTGGCCATTTCATTTGTCGCCGAGAATCAAATAGATTACACGACATTTGAAAAATGGCAAAAAGGAGGGAAAATTCGAAAGGTTGGGTGGGTTGAGGTGGGAAGTTGGTGTCCGAGTGGATCGAGGCCACGACAGCTCAAGTGGTAAAGCAGCGGTGTATTTAGCCGAATATCGAGGGTTCGAATCCCGCTCGTGACACTGACTTTTTTATCTCGACCAATGCCTTTCATAAATATTAATTAATTGAAAAATGTTAATCGATCAATCGGACGAAGAACTGTAATGGATTGTATTACAGAAGTGAGAGCTACGGAGAGTTTCAATATAAGGGCAGTTAGGCATACCATCGCTTCTGTTTGGCGTCTACGAAAGATTGAAGGGGTAAAGACGTGAAATCAAAGGAGCTTCCTAGAAAAGTAAATTTTTAATTGCGTATTTGCATGGAAAGTTCGTAATCTACCTTATTGAGTCCGCCTTCACGACAGGTATGTCGAACTACCCAAACGCATTTCGGTATTGCGCCATCTTCAGTGAGATGAAAATGGTCAAAATACCCAAGAGACGGCCCAACAAGTGGGTTACTGAACCCGCACCCCAGGCAACAGGTGCATCAGTAGGGAGTTCATATGACCTCCCGGGTGGGCGATCAGTCCCACCTTAAAAATAATACTGAACCACGGGAATGGAGCATCCAAGCGGCTCCACTAATTGAGGTTGGATTCGTGGTGGTCGTGGTTTGTAAACAAATTACCTTAGCTGGAGGGTACCGTCCAACCGGAGCCGGAGATAGAGTGCCTTCTCTATCTCTCCAGGGCTGATGGCAGGCATGGCTGAAAGGCTGCGCTGGAAACCTCAAAACTGCCTTTTTTTAAGGCACATGTGAACTTAGCTAGTATTGCACCAACTCGCTAGCCAAGGGATGTGACATTTCCGTGCATGTAAAATCTTCCTGGTGTTCTTTCGAGAACACTAGGCGTCTGAGAAGTCCCCTTGGGGATAAGTCCGGACGTTAAAAATCCTCATGGGTCTCAACGTCCATGAGTAAAGATGGGAACATCGGTCCCAATAAGTCACCCAATACCAGATAAGCATGAATTCACCGGCTCGCAGACCAACATCCAGCATCAATTTGCAGCATGGTGGAGACAAACAGGAATGCTTTCTCTTCGTCAGACGAGGCTTTTGATTCTTTGTTCCGTGTACGCGATGGAGCGGAGAAGAAACTAATTATAAACACTTGCGTTAAATTATTTTGATCTATTTGAAACTTACTTTACACCTTTAAAAAACAATTATCATTTAGTAAAGTTTATTGTAATCAAGTAACAAACTGTAGTGAATTGATTAGTGAAACCAACCATAATTGATATTTCAAACCAAAATCCATATTCTTTATTTAAAAATTGATGCTAATAAGTGAAACATCGTGATAGTCAAAATGATCAGGTGATGAAAATTCCCATTTGATTCATTAATCGGATTGTAATCGTCATAAAAAATTAAAAATTCGGTACCAAGTAAGGAGAATCTGATTGGACTTTCGGACAGTTTGCTGCAATCTGCAAAATTGAATATGGCAAAAATAAAACCTTCCTCCGTCAAAACACTTCCTTTGTCAAGAAGAGGACATTCGGTGCTGGCATCTTGGAGCTCGATGCACACATATTCGTATTTAGGAAAGGAACACTTGTCTTTTTTGCAGTATTTAAGGCATTGATCGTCTCCAACAAGGGTGACTTCCTGTTCTTTTATACGATTATCCCTCCAGCCGAGAAGTTTGCATTTTTTCAAAGTTTTCTTAATATGTATGTTCAAAAACATCCTGTAGTGGATATTTCTGGTGCGCATGAACCTGTCCATTATTTGAATCCGGAGGGAATACTCGACAGGCTCCGAAAGTATAACTATTCCAAAATCGTTTTCATAAAGGTCACTGTAACTGCAAGACGGGTGCAAATGGAAAAAGTCGACGTTTCGAATCTGCACTCCTGGCTTGTCGACATCGCTTAGATCTTCAGAACCGCCTACGACTTGAAACTGATTTTCGTCCAATGTAAATATTGTAGTACCCACGGGTTCAGTTAAGCAATGACAAGGAGCCAAGACGTACGTATTGGTCATCAATAAACCGCCACATTTAAGTTTACCATCCTTAAATTGCAGGCTCATCATGAAAGGATAAAGGCCGGGCTTTTTCTCTGAGGAAAACTGTTGAACCTTTCCGTATCGTCTTCCGACACTTGCATTATTCTGTCCGATATGGCCTTTTATTACGAATATCATTAACGAAAAAATCAACCAAAACACGATCATTAGGAATACCAAAAGAAAAGAAACGAAACAGAAGAAAACTTCAACCTCCAACCTTATGATGAATATACTATTTTAAACCACAATTGTTATTTTTGTGCAAATACAACTATAATAAAATTGTATGGTGGGCGATTAAGATACCAGTGGTGCAAACATTTACAAAATTTAAAAACGGTAAGTTTAAAAGTTATAAATTCAGTGAACACATAAAACATAAATGTTAATAATATACAAATTATTTACTTAATACAAGTTGTAAAACACAAATGTAATAAAAAATATGCTACAATATTCATTTATTTTCACACAATTCCCTCTAACTATTTAATGAGCGTAAAACAAAAAAATAAAGTAGAAAATCAATATTTTGAAAATCATCTGGTGATACAATTGATGGCCATTTTATTTTGAATTCTTTCGAACAGTTTTTGTAAATTGAACAATTTCAAAGATATCTGCAATTTTTCAATCTATTCTAAAGGCAATGAACTATTGAAGTTTACCATCGGATAAGTAAAACGAAACTTCCAACTAAGTTGCCTCGAAGTGCTATCAACCCTATAGCCACTGGTAAAGGACGACCTACTGCAAAAGCTTTCCATAAAGGGCATTGACGTACAAGGATAGACAGATGACATTTCCATAATAATTGTAACGAGTTTTTGGCCAAAATTAAGCAAAATGGTTCAAAGTTAACATTGAAATGGTGCCAGGACAATAGTCTAAATATAAACCCTTTAAAAGACAACGATTCCATGTAACAGAAAAAATAAGCTCAATCTAACAGATCTAACCCTATGAAACCAAGAAATAGAGCAAAGAAGTTACGCACCTAAGAATATACCAGGTTAACGTAGAACCCTTAAGAACACCTTAAGAAAACGATAGAGCTAAAGGCATAATGGAAATGCCAAAGCAGCAATTATGCAATTGACAAATGGTGGTCAAAAAAGTCTAAAACAAAGAAAGGCAGAGAAAATTCTATAAAAAAAACTCCGAAGAACCTCACGTCTTAGCACTTGAGGTCCATGCGGTCAAATTCCATGCTCAGGAATTGAAAAGAAGCATGTGATAGGTACTCCAAAATATTAGAATGCATAAATCGACTTAACGGTTACTGTTTTAATGTAAAAAGGGACTATGGTATGTATGTAGAGTAATGGTTGTCACTTTGCTCCTGTGGGCAGAAGAGTGTTACGATAAAAGTCGTATCGGGCGATGAAAGATCGCTTCGTGTTGCATCACCTATCGCATCGCTCCAGAGGGCACCGCGTCTAACATTTTTAAGGAGTCTGAAATAGTCTTTAACATCATGTGAATAATAGGTCCAAGTTCGCTAGTTTTCGTGGTCCGCTTGACCAATTAATATCTTTCAATATTAAGGTTTTTAGTTAAGATAAAAATGAATCAAATAGATTACACGACATTTAAAAAATGGCAAAAAGGAGGGGTTGAGATGGAAAGTTAGTTTCCGAGTGGATCGAGGTCAAGATAGTTCAAGTGGTAGAGCAGCGCCGTATCTAGCCGAAGGTCGTGGGATCGAATCCCGCTCGTGACACTGACTTTTTATCTCAACTAGAAACCTTAATTAATTGAAAGATATTAATTGGTCAAGCCGACCAAGAAAACTAGTGAAGTACTATGGTATGTATAGTATCGCTTGTCACTTTGCTACAGTGGTCAGAAGAGTGTTACGATAAAAGTCGTATCGGGCGATGAAAGATCGGTTCATGTTGCATCGTCTATCGCATCGCTCCAGAGGGCACCGCGTCTAACATTTTTAAGGAGTCTGAAATAGTCTTTAACATCGTCAGGTTGTGACTAATAGGTCAAAGTTTGAGCCAGCCTTCGAAAATAGGTGAAAAACTGCCAGTTTATGTAACACACACAATTATGTAAAAAATGTAGCATCTTTTTAAAATTAGACTTTACTTGCGGATCAATTTTTTTTAGTACATAACAACACTGTACATTCTAGCATTTAAATCAATATACATACATTAGATTGTACTTTGACTTGTTTGTGTTGGAAAATTAAAATATAAATACTTTATTTATGAAATTTAAAGCTTTAATGTAGCCGGTTTTTACAGCCCTTCGGCCCAGCGCCATTTCAAAATGGTTGAATCCTTTCATCAGGAAAGGATAAGCGTACCTTCCCAGCGCATCTACAGTCTTTCTGGAAACCTGTAAATCAATAATATTAACGGAAATCAAAAATTGTATTAAAAAAAGGTTTTATGACAATTTTGACATACATGATAAGGAACTAAGGCGTCTTGTTCTGCAATGAATAATGCAGTCGGTGACGAGACCTTTGAAATGTTGTATGCTGCGGGTTCAGCACAGCCATACAATTTTAGATTTTCTTCCATCCCGTAATCATATTTGCGGAATTTTCCTATCGAATTTAGATTAAATACTTATTATATAATGATATATTTAAAACCTCATAAAAAATTAGGTGCAAAAACGAGCAAACACACACACAAACTAACAAATAAACACATGAATATCAACAAACAAGCACATTTAGACACAATAGAGTGAATTTGTTATAAAAAAAAATAAAAACGTTATAAACAGCAGCTTTCTTTGTGAAATAAGTCGATAATATTTATTATGGTTGATGATGGTTAACAAAGTAGCGATAAGAACACACACACATATAAATAAACACGACCAACAACCAAATATATGCACACTTTTAAAACAAAAACGAACATACAAGAAACACACAAAACCTACAATCAAACCCAAGCACACTAAATACACAAACATATAAAAACACACGAGCAAATATGCGACAAAAACACATAAATATAAATAAACACGAATGCAACCAAAATAATAGGCAAACAAACAGTTATGTTCGCACACAATCAACAACAAACACATAAAAACAAAACCAGCAAACAAATACAGGTACACAAAAATACAGAAACACGCGCACACACAAACAAATACGTGCTCACAACCAAACATACAAGTCCTCACAGGCAAACATATATCCAACATATACATATATAAAAGAAACACACCCGCTCATATAAATAAGTGCAATAGACGCATGCAAACAAATACGCACACAGGACCATACATTCATACAAAAACAACATTCCCCAATGTAAGTGCAATAGCATACCTCATTTTAAAATAGATACAATAAACCTTTATTTTTCAATTAATTATGGTTTTTAGTTGAGATAAAAAGTCAATGTCACGAGCGGGATTCGAACCCACGACCTTCGGCTAGATCCGCCGCTACTCTACTACCTGAGCTATCGTGGCGTACTTAGCCGAAGGTCGTGGGTTCCAATTCCGATCGTGACATTGATTTTTTCATCTCTTCTAAAAACCTTAATTAATTGAAAGGTATTAATTGGTCAAGCGGACCACGAAAACTAGTTAATTCTGTACCTTTGTTGTTAGCTTAATCCTTATTTTTAATCGAAGAGATGATGACGTACACCATCAAAAAACATGCCAAAACAACGAAACTAATTACCTACAAAAAGCAAACACACATATACGTACAAATAAATACGCACGCAAACGAACAGACATACAAAAAAATACAATACACATGAAACAACAGCAAAACAAATACAACCATAAAATAATTAACAAATACTTGCTCAGCCAAACAAACAAAAACAGAAACAAACACAGATACAACCACACATAAATTTAATAACAGGAATTAAAAAACAAGTTAACACCCTTTTTTGTTTGTTAAGAAAATATTTTCAACCTTTTGGTCGGTCATGGTCAAAAATTGCAAAATACTACAAGATTATTGGATTTTGTAATATTTAACGAGCACTTGTTTGACAAAGTTTCAGTTTTTATTTATATTTATCTTATCTGTCTAACACTTCACTATTACGATTTTCATTACGTCAAAACAAACGTACTCATAAGCTCTAATAATTGTTGAAGTATATGTTACACAATTTGTTCATTTAACAAAAATTCTGAAATTGTGTTACTTATTAGTTTAAGTAAAATTCATTATGCTTTTTCCAGTGTAGTATAACAGTTATTGATTGTAGTAATAAAAATGATTTGTATTACCTGAAAAATACATCTGAATCATATGATCGCCTGTTTTAAATGAAGTGAGACCAATGGAAGCTCCCATCTGAAAACCTAAGTGCTCCTAAAATAAAATTAGGTCATAGTTTTGAAGATGAGCATAATTGCGTTGACTTTTACCTGATCAAAGTGGTCCATTGAACCTCCGACTATCCACGGCAATGAAATAACGCAAAGCGTCTGAAGAGGCGATCTGTCACAAACTTTCATTAACGCCAAAGCTACAATTCGCATGAAATATTTATTATGGGATTCTATGACATTTTCACTCCTCAGCCATTTCTATAAAGGTTGCTTTTGTAAATTTTAAAACTCAATTTGAATTTACTACACTCTAACCAGTAAATATGACAATATTTGAAGCAAGACACGGTGCAAAATGGTGAGCTCGCTCGCGTTAGGAGGGATCACCAACGGTGCGAAATGGACGCTCGATGCTACTTTTCGGTTGAATTCTTCTCGTTCGGACATCATGGCGAAGTAAAATGAACTTCCGAGGGATTGACCGACATAGGATAATTTTTCTTTGGAAGACACATTCAACACTTGGTTTATCATAGCGGGCAAATCGTACGATCCAATTTCATGAAAACTAAAATCCAGTTCAATATTTGATTCGAATCATTTTATGAAGTTATTTACCTGAAATTCCAGTATTCGCTATCAGTGAATGAATATTTCAAATGTTTCCTCGAGTACGGATTGCCCCTTTGATCACCAAGCCATACATCATAGCCATGATCCGCTAGTATAAATGCTATAAATAATACTTTGCTTTATTTAATATGACAAAATGTCGAAACATGTCTGATAAAAATGATCTGTAACGACCAAATTAAAAAGAAAAAAGCAATACAAAATCACCTAAGGCTTGGACATCTGTCAGGAAAAAATGCTATATGTAAAAAGTATCTTATTATACATATATATGTTTATGGTTTGTAAATAATATTCAATATAGCATTACTTAAATATATTCCACACTTATTCACTTACGAAAGTCTATCCCTTTCCCTCTAAGAATCCAGGAACGAGACCTGATGCAGAATCCATTGACCAATAGTACGGGATGTCCCTTGGAAGGCCGGTCTCGTCTCATAATTCTATGCAAGCCGACCAAATATCCATCGTCGGTTACAGCCTCGTGAAATTCGTAATTGTATCCGGCCCTTTCAATCAATTCTCTCTTTGAACAAAAAAATACAGAAAGTAGTCCGATTTTTAAAATATTTCGCGAAATTTTTCCAAACTTACATTGGATAAAGATAAAGAATAATAGTCGTTGGGAGCAATAAACGGAGGATCGGATTTCTGGCCGGAAGTGAAATAAACAATAAAAAGAAGGACCGAAGGTACAATAAAACTTATGTACGACATATTCCACGGTTTTAATCCATCTGAGAGATATTATTTGTGGCAGACGACCCCACCACGTACGACCTTGCGATTTCCATCCAAACTCAAATTTTTAATAAGATGAAACTCCTTCTCCTTTTATTATGGTTGTTGTTGAATTAGTCATGTGATGTGTTTATTGAGCTTCAGGACCTCTTTATTTTACCTATTGTTGCCTGTACGTATTTCTAGGCCACTACCAATACCCATTTTCAAGGGGGTAGTAATACTACAAAAAAATTTTTTTTTTCGTTATGAACTATGCATATTAGCCATGTGACAATTCGTATATGTGTGTTCAAATTTGGGGGGGGGGGTTATTGTAAAAAAAAGGGCCAGAGGCGACGGTGGGATTCGAACCCACGACAGCGGCGTGAGAGTGGTTGTGAAGTTCAAAAAATAACACCATGTGACGGCAAATGTTTATAAGGCCTTAAAGAAGGATACAAGAAACGAGGTTATGAGGAACGTAATTATCTTGATAATTCCTTTTGTTTTAAAGCCAGTAAGGTCCACTCTTACACTTGTTCATACACCTTGAAGCAGAAACACATATTACAGGCCAATATGACGAGGGATAAACAGGCCAAATATATAGAAAACGACTAAGTCAAAAAAGAATATTGTCAATCTAATAATTTAAGAAAATTTCAAGCTTGATCAACTCCGATCATGTTTGTATTTTTTCTATTTTGTTGCTGGTTTTGTCTCAGACTTGCTTCAGATACAATAACTTTATAGATAACAATTCATGCTTCGCATTCGTGAATTTTCTTAGCTTCACGTATAAACAACGATGGATATGCAGCCTAACCAGTCCCACATGCTAACCTTAATCCTACGTAACCTAACCGAAGTACACTGATCCTAACCTAACCTTATTTTTTCCATCTCCAAAAAATCCGAGTAGTAAATACATTATTCATATTTTTAATAAATATTTTAATATTATTTTATATAGATACAAATTTTTGCCATAAATTAAGCGAATTAATCAAAGGTTTTCTATTTTTATTGACAGAATATCCAAGTCCCAACCGTAAACTTTATTCTCCCTAATGAAACCTAACCAGTCTCACAACCTAACCTTAATCCTATGTAACCTAACCGAAGTACACTGATCCTAACCTAACCTATCCCTATTTTTTCCATCTCCAAAAAATCCGAGTAGTAAATACATTATTCATATTTTTAATAAACATTTTAATATTATTTTATATAGATAAAATTTTTTACCATAAATTAAGCCAATTAATCAAAGGTTCTCTATCTTTATTGACACAATATCCAAGCCCCAACCATAAACTTTATTCTCCCTAATAAAACCTAACCAGTCTCACAACCTAACCTTAATCCTATGTAACCTAACCGAAGTACACTGATCCTAACCTATCCTATACCTATTTTTTCCATCTCCAAAAAATCCGAGTAATAAATACATTATTCATATTTTTAATAAAGATTTTAGTATTATTTTATATAGATACAAATTTTTGCCATAAATTAAGCGAATTAATCAAAGGTTCTCTATTTTTATTGACAGAATATCCAAGCCCCAACCATAAACTTTATTCTCCCTAATAAAACCTAACCAGTCTCACAACCTAACCTTAACCCTATGTAACCTAACCGAAGTACACTGATCCTAACCTAACCTTATTTTTTCCATCTCCAAAAAATCCGAGTAGTAAATACATTATTTATATTTTTAATAAAGATTTTAGTATTATTGTATATAGATACAAATTTTTGCTCATAAATTAAGCCAATTAATCAAAGTTTCTCCATTTTTATTGACAGAATATCCAAGCCCCAACCATAAACTTTATTCTTTTTAACAAAACCTAACCAGTCCCACAACCTAACCTTAATCCTATATAACCTAACCGAAGTACACTAATCCTAACCTAGCCTATCCCTATTTTTTCCATCTCCAAGAAATCCAAGTAGTGGATACATTATTCATATGTTTAATAAACATTTTAGTATTATTTTATATAGATACAATTTTTTTTAGATTTTAGAAAAAACATTTTAGAAAATAGATACAATCCCCAACCTTAAACTTTATTCTCTCTACAAAACCTTACCTGTTCCTACCCTAACTCTAACTCAGAACTAATCCATCCCTAACTTTAAACCGTTCATATACTTACATAACCGTAAACTTAACGTTAACCTTAACCTAACGTAAACTTATTTTAACTCTAACCCTAATTTAACGTGAGGTGATTAGGGACTGTTAGTCGATGATTATTCAGAAATCGTGAGTTGCGGTCTGGTGTGACGTAGGTTTCAGAAAAACGTTTTCTTCATCGTGCCAACGTTTCGCTCTTTATTGATATCATCTTCATGGCCTGGGATTTACAAACATTGTTTAAATTTAACAGATACATGTAGGATGTGGAAAAAAGTGAACTTACACAATGCAATTCCAGCAAATTCACTTTTTTCCACATCCTACATGTATTTGTTAAATTTAAACAATGTTTGTAAATCTCAGGCCCTGAAGATGATCTCAATAAAGATCGAAACGTTGGCACGATAAAGAAAATGTTTTTCTGAAACCTACATCTCACCAGACCGCATCTCACGATTTCTGAATAATCACCTAACTTTAACCTTACATTACCATAATATTAATCCTAATTATAACCCTAATGTAATCTAACCTTATTGTAACTTAACACCAACACTAATCCGTATCTAACCTAACCTAGCAAAACCCTAATCTTAACTTTAACCTAACTTTAGCCCCAACAAAAAATTTATCCACCCCTTTCCATGTTAAAATATACTTTGATATGGGTACTCACATGACCCACATTTGTCTAAAAACATTTGTAATTTATCAATAAATTGTTTCCATAATTCAAAACTGCTCCATTTAACCCATTCACTCTGAAATTACTGACATAGTTGGGAGCAAGAGAATAATTTATTTTGAACCTCTTGAAGTCTGTTAAAATGAATAGCACATACAACTACATGAAGGGGAGGCAAATAGTATCATGGTTTAACAATGTTGGTGTGTAAAACATGATTGCTTAATATGCTCATGTCTATGATATGGTATGCTCACTGATGCATAGGGTAAAAGTATTCTAGTAGCGGCTTCATCTTTGCCAACAAGATTTTTGATGTGTTCAGTGTACTTTAATAAGGAGTTAAATGTTATTTCTAGGTATGTTACTATCTTAGACCGGTCAAAAAAATTTCCATCAAGTGATGTCTTACTTTTACATATGTTAATTTTTTTTAACAGAAAAGTTTTTTCTGTCAAATCTATATTAACATTTTTAGAAATTCCATTAATCTAGGAGAAACAGTAGGGTGAATAATGCCAGTTGAGAATAGTTAGGTTCCAGCAGTGTATTTAAAAAATTTCAAAGACTTTTTTTCATAAATTATGACAATAAATAAAATAATTTTTGAAATATAATTTTGGATTCGCACTTTGTAATATCGATCGGCTTTTTAAGGTTTTTGTATTTTTAAGCAATTTTGTAAAACAAATGAAAGGAAATTGTGAATTATTTCAATCATTTTATGCTTTTTAAGGTTGACAAAAAGATAATTTAAAAAATTTGAAAAATTTTAGTTTTTTAAATAATCACATTAGTGTGAATATTAAATAAAAAGTATTTAATTAGTTAAAAATGTATGAACTCAGTGTGTATGTCTGATTTCAATAAAACTAAGAACCTGTTCAGCCCATAGATGGCGGTACATTCACTTTTACACAGTTTGTTCAATGTAAATGATTTTATCAACAATGATTTGAACTGTAGTAGACAAGTTTTCATCTTTCAAGAGTAAACGTAAGCGGAAAAAGGGATAAAACTTAAATGGGCAGACCAGAGATCAATTTTGATCCTGGTAAACGGTTCATCGACACAGACAAACTTACAGGACTAGCAATTTCCGGTTATAAAATTACCGTCGTGATTAATAACTCTGACGTTTTCAAACTTGTGACATCATACGAATCACTATTTCATATGCTTCCAAGATAGTTCAATTAAGATTTGCGATATTCCCTTTGTAACGGTGGACGATTAGAAAGAAAAACTTTTATTATTATGTACAATTCACTAGTTTTCGTGATCCGCTTGACCAATTAATATATTTAAATTAATTAAGGTTTTTAGTTGAGATAAAAGTCAGTGTCACGAGCGGGATTCGAACCCACGATCTTCGGCTAGATACGCCGCTGCTCTACCACTTGAGCTATCTTGACTCTCTCCGTGGACATTTCATTTGTTGCCGAGAATCAAATAGATTAAACGACATTTGAAAAATGGCAAAAAGTAGGGGAAATTCAAAAGGTGGAGTTGAGATGGGAAGTTAGTGTCCGAGTGGATCGAAGTCACGATGGCTCAAGTGGTAGAGCAGCGGCGTACCTATCCGAAGGTCATGGGTTCGAATCCCGCTCGTGACACTGACTTTTTTATCTCAACTAAAAACCTTAATTAATTGAAAGCTTTTAAAAATATGTTGTAAAATGGGCTATCTGAAATTGTGTCATCTACATTAATTTGTTCATATTTTCACAACTTGGCACAAGCTTTCCCAATATATGGGATGTAATAGGTCCTCCACACTTAAAGCGACTTAATTATGCGACTGCATTTGTTTCGTTCCCACTTGCGACTGGATCCCAGCAAGTCCATCCTATTTTCAATCAATGATTATTTTAACCTAGGTAAAACAATCAATTCATATTTTCAAAACATTAAAAAACGTACAAATACGAAAAAACTCAATATACATTCTAACAATTAATTAAGTTTTTAGTTGAGATAAAAAAGTCAGTGTCACGAGCGGGATTCGAACCCATGATCTTCGGCTAGATTCGCCGCTGCTCTACCACTTGAGCTATCGTGACTTCGATCCACTCGGACACTAACTTCCATCTCAACCCCACCTTTTGAATTTTCCCTCCTTTTTGCCATTTTTCAATTATGTACAATACCAAATTATGTACAATATTTCGTTTGTTTTTGTATATAATGCTTATTTAAGGTATAATTGTTATAAATGGTAAAATTA